CTGAAGTTTTGGAAAGAAAACTTCATGACTTAGTCAATGAACTTTCCTCTTGATCTATTATGTGTCCTGTTTCTCAATTTAGTCTCAGACGGGACTTTCCCATGCTTCCTTCATATTTCATTGTCAAATTCATGTACTTTACATCCGTTTGGAGAAAATGTCACAAGAATGTTGTGTGATAATAAATGATGTTATGATGTTCAACTGTTTATGAATTTTTTTTTGTTAAATGTTGTTTTTCTTGGAAAAGATATTAAACCCACTGGGCCCAGTCCAGCAGAAAATTTGGGATTTCACGTGTTCCATGCTACTTGGATCAAAACGTGAGCCACTAATGCTTTTGGTTACTGAACTTTCGCCATCTAGGAGGTGGCTCATTTTAATAGGTCTATCGAGCTTGATTTTAGGCTGTAATGAGAAAACTGGCATAGACACTTCGACTAGTTTAGATTGAGGATTGGCAACCCAAAAAATAATTTAGAAATTATGATAAAGAAATATAGAAATTAAACGGTTAATTATGTGAATGGTCACAAAATTTTTGGTAATTATTTCTTGAAATTAATTTTTTTTATAGTAATAGTCATTCAAATTTTAAATTCTTACACTAATGATGACTCTGTTAAAAATAATTAACTTAATTCCTACGTAATATCATTAAGTGTCAATGCTTTGGCAAATGACAATTATTTATCACATGATCAAGTTAACAATTTTTTTTTTTTTTTTTAAATGTGATCTTGTTGTACGATGTAAGCCCAAAAGTTTGACCAAATGTTTTAATCTCCAATTCCTAGCTTCTCAATTTTGTATACTTCAGGTAAATGACACGTCACTTAATGGTGTCACGTAGGATTTCAGATTAACTTAAATTATCAAGTGATCCTTAGTGTAATAGTCACTATTTTTGCAAGAAAATAAAGTCGATGACTATTGTCATAATTAACCCAAAAGTAAAATTAAACATTGTTTTAAAGTACTCTATTATTTAACACTGCATGTGCGGTGAACTCAAAGTATTTTCAATAGACTTTTTATTCATAAAAAGCATCTTATGCATTATAAAGAACATCCATAAATTTAGAAAATCAAAGATTTTATGCACTCCAACAATGCTCTATATTTTGATTCTTTATTTTGCTTTTCTCAAGAAAAATTTATTGATTTTTTTCTAATAGAATTTTTTATACATCAATTATCAATTAATTTAAATGTGTTTTAAATGGTTTAAGAAGTAGAATATTGAAATTTTTGGCTTATTAAGTACAACCATTGTACGTTATAAGAATAGAGAATGAGCTTAACTCTCTATTTTAAAATATCAACCCTTGTTTAAGCCCTATTTTGGGGAAAAGAATGAATTTTTGAATAGATTATTGATGAGAAATATGTGGTTAAAAAAATGAAATGTTTTAAATTTACGTGTAATATTATTTTATTGAAAACGTATGATTGAAATGATATCAAAACACTGTTAAAAAATATATTTTTTCAAAAGAATGGGATGGGGCTCAAACAAGGGCTAAAATAAAGAGTCTATTAAAGCTTACTTTTGAGCATCGAAATAAAGAACATTTTGTATTTAAAGAATATCTTGAAAATACTCTCAAAGTGCAAGATATTAGGCCGTGAAACTTTAAGTAGCATCTATATTGTGTCAATTGCTAGCGCATCCTTGGCTTCAACATCTAGCTTTGTTGAAGAGGCCTTGCCTGATAGGGAAAGTGCTGATTTGTTTCGAATAGACTTAACAACCAAGCTGAGTGTATATAACCCAAGCTCATAGACCTTTTACAGAGGTTTCACACATGGGTGGGGTCGAAATTTTTTTTTGTCATTTTTTATTACATCGGGTCCCGCAATGGTGCCGACCTTTTGTGAGACTTCTAGTTCTCTTCTGTAACAATCAGAATTGTTCTAGACTTAAACTCAAGAATGTCACCACCTTTGAAATAAGAAAATAAGTGCCGATCAAGAAAGAAAAAAGGAAAAGCATAAGCAAGTATTGTAAACAACCTTATACCCCAAGATTATACATTTATGATTGTGTTGTTGAATCAAGAAAAAGCATAAGCAAGTATTGTGAAAAATCACCTCTAAGCACGAGATTAGATATTTATGGTTGCATTGTTGAACATGCAAGAGACAGACTGAAAATTAAAATATTTTACTGGTCAACGAAAATATATATTATAGGAACATATAAGATAATGCATTCCAATATATAGCACTGTTTGGTATTAATTTAATTCAAATTTTAATCTAAATCAAAGTTAAACAATTAATTTTAATAACTTATTTTATGGATTTCACAACTTTTCAACCCTACACACACCCCTCATTTTTTAATTATCTTTTATTAAAAAAACATTTTATATTAATAATTGGGTAATTGACACAAAACGTCCATACCTTTTAAGTTTATTATGGAAAACGTCCACACTATTTATTTTTTGACATTTTTGATCTCATTTCAACATTTCTTTGTGATGAAGGTCCTTCCATCCACCCTCCGCCATTTCCTCCGTTAATTGAATAAAAATATGCTATTTTCTTTCCAATCAACAAGGGTAAAATTGTCCTTATTCATTGAACCCCTTCTTCCCACCTTCTATGTGGTCCATAAGTAACAATAGCTAGAAAATGCATATGAAAATACTTTAAATTATTACACTAAATAAAGGAAAAAATTGTCGTGAAGAAATATATAGTGGTGAAATTCGACATGACCAAACAGTGAGATCTCACGAGCTCAGCCACAAGCTCACCACCATTGAACAGTGAAATCTCACGAGCCCTCACAACTCTCACATATCCCTTTTTTGGTGCAATATTGGAATTTCATAGCTTTATTGGCATATGCTTATGGGTGGGTTTTTTATTAAATCCTGTAAATATTCTGGGAAAGATTTATTTTCTAGAAGATTTTGAATTTTTTCTTTTTGATTGGTAAAGATTTTGAAATATATTAATTTGTTTAATAGTGGTTTTGTGGATAAATTGTGGGTGATTGGGGAAAAAGCACTATTATGAAAACGGAGGAACAAACGGTTCTTGTTGAAGTTTCATCCATGGTCGAAGTTAAGAAAGTGAAACTTGAAGATGATGGAGACGAGTTTAGAAGATGTTGTGAGGATGAGGATGAGGATGAAATCAAAGAGAAGGAAGAATCAACAAAGGAAGATTTAAATGACAATTTTGATTCAGATTTTGTAAAGATATAAGGGTGTTTCTGTAGTTGACCCTGGAGATTCTGGTTATAGGCTCCGGCATTGGAATTGTAATGGAGAAGTCCGATAGCACTCCTCCAATTCGAGTGTAGAAAAATCTCGATTTCTATGTGGAAGAATTGGTAGCAGCAACGGGAATAACAGGTCCAAGAATGGTAGAAATAACAACAGCTCCTTTTATCGAGCATAAAAAGCTGAGCCATTTAGCCATTTCTTCGCCTTCTTTCGCTATGCCCTGTTGTCATTGAGGTGAAGAAAAAAATGTTGTGAAGAACTTATATACCAATCTATATAGTGGTGTAATAATCCATCTACATTTTTCCAGTAACCCAACATGAGAGAAGCAGTGGCGGAAAGAAGGGGTTCAATGGGTAAAGACAATTTTACCCGTCATTGGAAAGAAAATAGCATATTTTTATTCAATTAACGGAGGAAATGGCGGAGGGTGGATGGAAGGACCTTCATCACAAAGAAATGTTGAAATGAGATCAAAAATGTCAAAAAATAAATAGTGTGGACGTTTTCCATAATAAACTTAAAAGGTATGGACGTTTTGTGTCAATTACCCAATTATTAATATAAAATGTTTTTTTAATAAAAGATAATTAAAAAATGAGGGGTGTGTGTAGGGTTGAAAAGTTGTGAAATCCATAAAATAAGTTATTAAAATTAATTGTTTAACTTTGATTTAGATTAAAATTTGAATTAAATTAATACCAAACAGTGCTATATATTGGAATGCATTATCTTATATGTTCCTATAATATATATTTTCGTTGACCAGTAAAATATTTTAATTTTCAGTCTGTCTCTTGCATGTTCAACAATGCAACCATAAGTATCTAATCTCGTGCTTAGAGGTGATTTTTCACAATACTTGCTTATGCTTTTTCTTGATTCAACAACACAATCATAAATGTATAATCTTGGGGTATAAGGTTGTTTACAATACTTGCTTATGCTTTTCCTTTTTTCTTTCTTGATCGGCACTTATTTTCTTATTTCAAAGGTGGTGACATTCTTGAGTTTAAGTCTAGAACAATTCTGATTGTTACAGAAGAGAACTAGAAGTCTCACAAAAGGTCGGCACCATTGCGGGACCCGATGTAATAAAAAATGACAAAAAAAAAATAAAAAAAAAATTCAATCCTACCCATGTGTAAAACCTTTGTAAAAGGTCTATGAGCTGCGATTATGTGCACTCAACTCGGTTGCTAAGTCTATTCAAAATAAATAAACACATTCCCTATCAAGCAAGGCCTCTTCAACAAAGCTAGATGTTGAAGCCATGGATGCACTAGCAATTGACATGAGATAGATGCTACTTAAAGTTTCACGGCCTAATATCTTGCACTTTGAGAGTATTTTCAAGATATTCTTTAAATACAAAATGTTCTTTATTTCGATGCTCAAAAGTAAGCTTTAATAGACTCTTTATTTTAGCCCTTGTTTGAGCCCCATCCCATTCTTTTGAAAAAAATACATTTTTTAATAGTGTTTTGACATCATTTCAATCACACGTTTTCAATAAAATAATATTACACGCAAATTTAAAACTTTTCATTTTTTTAACCACATATTTCTCATCAATAAACTATTCAAAAATTCATTATTTTCTCCAAAATAGGGCTCAAACAAGGGCTGAAATTTTAAAATAGACAGTTAAGCTCATTCTCTATTCTTATAACGTACAATGGTTGTACTTAATAAGCCAAAAATTTCAATATTCTACTTCTTAAACCATTTAAAACACATTTAAATTAATTGATAATTGAACCCCAAGCATCCCTTCTTATCCGTCTCCAAAGACAGATCTCAGTTGGGACAGCTCAGACTTTGGAGTGCAGATATTCAGCTACTGTGATCTTGAAGAAGCTACTGATAATTTTGATCGTTCTAGAGAATTGGGAGACGGCGGTTTTGGCACTGTATACTATGGTATGATCACAAGCCCTTTTGCTTTGTTTCTCATGCTATTCCTTATCCTCCCCACATGGATAAAAATAGGAAATTACTTCTAATTTTCACACAAGCTCCTGTTTGTAGTTGCTTCTTTCATCTTGAATCAATATGTGGTTGGTGTGAAGTTTAGCTTACTTAACTTTATAGCCTGCCGGAACGGTATCTAAAGGCAGCTTTTAGTGTTTAGTAATGCAGAGTCAAATATATTGTTCATTTGTCCCTCGACTGCAAATTATTTTATCATAGGGGTGCATTGGGCGTTCATCTCTTTGTAGTATGTCACCCGATCTTCCTATGTTATATAAAGATATCTGAGTGGGACGGATTTTTTTATATTTTTCTGTGTGTTTGAGAGAAAATACTACGAGTTGTGAGTCCATTGTATACCACTTTTTTTATTGATTATAGCCAAAATATCTGCAGCAACAAGCACAAGTAAACGAATCTCTCATATAGAGGGTGAACCACTCTAAATCTCAGTGTCACTAAGTGTGCGTTTTTGTTTTTCGTTTCATTCATTGTTGCTCTAGTGATTGAGACTAGAGCTTAATCCGTAGCATATGGTTGAACGACTAATCAATTATTTGTTTTTTCACCCTCTATTCAACACTATTAAACAGAGCGACTTTACCATTTCTCAAACAGGTATGCTACGTGATGGTCGTGTAGTTGCAGTGAAGCGTCTATATGAGAACAATTTTAAGCGTGTAGAGCAGTTCAGAAATGAAGTTGAGATCGTAACTCGATTAAGGCACCAGAACCTTGTGACACTGTATGGATGCACATCAAAAAGTAGCCGAGACCTAGTGCTAGTCTACGAGTATATACCGAATGGAACAGTGGCTGATCATTTGCACGGAAAAAGGGCGAAGTCTGGCTTGCTATCTTGGCCAATTCGGTTGAATATTGCCATTGAAACAGCGGATGCACTAACTTATCTCCATAAATCGGACATCGTGCATCGTGATGTAAAAACCAACAACATTCTCCTGGACAATGATTTCCATGTAAAAGTTGCTGATTTTGGGTTGTCCAGAATATTCCCGAATGACGTGACACACGTGTCGACTGCTCCACAAGGGACTCCTGGCTATGTTGACCCCGAATACTACCAATGCTACAAACTCACAGAAAAGAGTGACGTTTATAGTTTTGGGGTGGTTTTGATTGAGCTCATGTCTTCATTACAAGCTGTGGATACCAACAGACACCGTCACGATATCAACTTATCCAACATGGCTATCAACAAAATTCAAAATCGTACGTTGCATGATTTGGTTGATCAGAGTCTCGGATTTGAGAGGGATTGTATTACGAGAAGGATGATAACACTTGTTGCAGAGTTGGCTTTTCGGTGTTTGCAGCAGGAAAGGGATATGAGGCCTTCAATGGAAGAAGTACTAGAGACTTTACGAGCAATTCAGAATGAAAAGTTGAACACTCACAAGGTCGAGGTTGTAGACATTTCTGTCGACGATGAGATAGCGCTTTTGACCGGCAGCATTTCCCCGCCTTCACCTATTTCAGTATTCACCGATAAATAGCATTTTTGATTCTGCTTAGAAGTCATTCTTCTAAAAAGCAAGTTATAATCGTACTTTCTAGAAAAGTAAGTTTCATCGACTTACATTTGACTTTTGAGTAAAACCAAACAGCTTGCATTTCTCTAATTTTAATTCATGTAATCGAAGTATGCCTTTGATTTGCTTATGCTTAATCTTTTTGTGACGATGTCTTTTGTTGTGTTGATAGGTACAAAGTTTTGAAAACCACCTACTAATTTGTATTTTGAAGGAAATGTACATATGAAATGGAGTTGTGTCTTGAGCTATTGTTGTTTCATTTTTGCAGCTGAAAATGGTGTTTTCATATATTTTGTCTAGGGATGTTGTACTTGTGGAAACAACAATCCTTAATCAACTGGGACAGAGTTAATTGGGTGACGATTTCGTCTCTTAATTAATACAACATTGTCAATCAAGGGTTTTATCAAAAAAATTTCTTTCTTTTTCAACCACTCATTTTTCTAAAAAATACTATTCCCCCTATTTTCATTTTCATTTTCATGTTGTGGGGATCAAATAGGGGCTAAAAGACATATTTTTCCTCCATATTTTAAAATAAGTGAAAATAAATAAAAATACGAAGTTGGATATGTTTGAAAGCACGCTGATAGAATATCCCTACTATATAAAAAAGAGAATGAGAAGTTACTATAGTAGTATCAGTGAATTCTTTCATTTTATCACATTGTAACAATTTTTTTTTAATCGTGGGAGCAAAAACGACGTCGTGTTGTCTTCAATCATTTTTCCATTTTTACACGCCACTTCATTGCAACAATCACCTCCCCTGTAATATATTTTTTTTTTCATTTTCACACACTACACTTCATCCAAACTAAATAATTTAACAAATTAAAGAAAAAAAATTCAGTCAAAAATAGAAAAAAAAATGTTATTATAAAGTTTTTTAATTAAATTGAAATAATTAAAATTAAAAATAAATATTATTTAATTAAAATTGAACAAGTTACGTTCTCTCAAAAAACGAAAAGAATTAAAAAAAAATTTAAATTGAACAAAAAATTAGTTATAATATGAAGAAAAAGGAAAATTTAAAACAATTTACAAAAAATATATAATAAAAAAATTAAACAAAAGAAAGTTACAAAAATTAAATAAAAGAATACATAAATATTATTTAATTAAAATTGAAAATAAATGTGGAGGTAAACAGTTTAGGGTTGATTTAATGCTATTTATTATGTAGTGTAATTTTCACAGAAGAGTATGAGAACTCTCCTTATTTTGATAAAATTATTTTCACCAACCATCATCAGTTCCTATTATTGGATTGCTATAAATTAAATCCCACTAAATTATATTTTCGTATTGTTCTCTTCTCTTCTCTTCTCTTCTCTTCTATTTTTATTTTAGTTTGTTACTTTGTATATGTGTGTATACTTTTAAATTTATATGTGTGCATGGAAATGAATGAATTTTCGCCCTCACAAGTATATATGGAGTTCCAACAGGAATATTATCATGAAATGAGAGATGAGGGTCGTCCTTTTCTGATTGAAATTATCCTTCCAATTTTTATACCGATTGAAGAAATATCTTATCAACTTATTATATAACTTTGATGAATAATTCATCTTTTAATGTTTCTCAATTGATTTAGGATTGATCTTCATATATTAGCTTAATTGAACACATTTGTGATATGACTTGAGTTAAAAGGAAAAGGATTATGATCAGACTAATTAACCTTAAATATAATGCTAATATGGTGGTTGAATGATATCCATGACAATACTTAATTTATATAAACTGAAATTGAATAAAGCGCGTAGAAGAGATGTAAGTATTTGAGAGAAAAGAATGGGTTTTATGTTTGTGGGAAAGGTTTTTTGTTGTTTAATGAAAGTTTATATAAGATAAATTTTTATAATACTCACTAGACAAATCTCATGGCACAACGAAGGTGTGATAATTCGGAAGAAGACCATGAACGTCATGGCTCAACGAAGGTGTGTTAATTCAGAAGAAACGGTGCGGTACATCTATTTTATTAGATATGAAAGAGTTGAGGAGATTGTTTAATTCAAAAGAATTAAAAATTACCTGACATCAGTATAAAATAATATATTTTAATATTAGTAAGCAAGAAAGATGGAATTAGAATTAGAAATAGCACAAATAAATTAACACTGAATCCAGCGATAAATTTTTAATACATAGGGAAAGATAATTATTTCATATTAGTTAAATAGAAAAGATATAACTGAAATTTAAAAGTTTAGAGACAAGTCAGAGTTCCATCAGTGTGATCTTTTTTGTAGACCATAAACATTAGGGTTCATTATTCAGTAGTTCAAACATTTTGCTAAATTCAAGTTGCAACTTATTTGCAATAAATATCAAATAAAAAAATCAATTCTTCATCTACTTTAATCTAAATAAAAAAATACCAATCAATAAATAATTAACTTTTCACTTATGCACCTAAACATATACAACCTAATTTCGCAAGATCATTACATCATTGATTATAATTATTGATAAAAAATAAAAATAAATTATCGAAGACATACAGTATACAGTCGACATCATTGATTATATTTATTTATGAAAATAAAAATGAATTATCATTGACATACAATATACAGTCTACAAAAGAATGTAAATCAAGCAAACATTTCACATCTTCAAATTTTTTTTTTTTTTTTTGGTCAAATCAACGAATTCTACGCTAATTTTTTTTTTTTGTAAAATCAACGAATTCTACGCTAATAACAACAAAATAAATATAAAACTCATGCAACACACGTGACATAGACTAGTTTGGATAGAAAGTTAGAAACCATCATCAAGACCAAGTATGTTAATTAACGAAATATCGAAGATAATAATGAGACACATAAGCGAGAATACAAGTGTGACAATAAGCAAAGTTCGTAAATAATAGTGTAATTAAAAAATAGTACACCGAAATAATATTGGGGGTGACAAGATAACCACCACAACTACTGCAACGACATTATCACTTTGATTATAAATGCAAGATATTATGACTAGTAAAACAATAAATTCAAGTCAAGTGTCAACCCAAGAGAATGTGTTGTTGACCTTCGATTTAGCTCTCGTTTGAGTTTCATTCTTACCAAAAAAATATATTTTGAATAGTGTATTGACGAAAAATGTGTAGTAAAAAAATAAATAAAAGTTTTAAATTTGTGTGTAATATTATTTTAATGAAGAATGTATGGTTGAAATGAGTCAAATCACCGTTAAAGAATATATTCTGATGGAAATAATGAGGCTCAAATAAGGGCTTAAAGTTTACACTATTCCTAACTATTTATTTTAAAATTTTAAAATATTTGATTTACTTTGTTAATTTTTTACTAAAAATTAAAATTTAATTAAAGAATTGGAGTAGCGATCACAAATTTGACCGATGAAGAAACATTGATTAACAAGATGTTAGGACTCATGATTTTATCTTAGTTTTTCTAATTTAAAATCGTGTATTAAATTAAGGCAATATTATTTCATTTGAGCTGCCAATCGAATTTGTCAAATTTAATTGATAGTCTTTCTTGAATAGAATCAATCTTATCTAAACATATGAACTCGCTATTTTCTCAATATGAATATACCTGCATTTAAGGTGCATTAAATAACAAAGAAATTCACTAAATAATTAAATTTCAGATTTTAATCTAAATCAAATTCAAAAATTAATTTTAATAACGTATTTTATAGGTCTTACAATTTTTCAACCACGCATTTCATTAATTTTCAACAAATTTACAAAAAAAAATTGATTTTAATCCCCATAAAAAAAAAGGCTAAATTTTGTTTTAGTTTAAAACTTTCTTGTACTTCCTTTTTTGAATGGGTAAGTTCGACCTTTTCTCGCTTGGATGAAGCTACTTTGCCAGAAGGATTTGACAGGAAATTTGACATAATTACATGTGACAGTAGATGATTGAATAGAAAAACTGAAGTATTTTAAATTGTCCGATGATAAAATGCCACATGACATTATGTCAAGTTTTATATCAATCTTAATATTCATGTAGCATTCGGTCCCTCTTCAAGGTTTCGCAATTTCCTTTTCGATCTTAATAAAATATGCTACTAGTTTTTTAAAAAAATATATAAAACTCACTTAAATTTATTTAAAAATAACGGTTTTCATATATTAAACCTGTGTGCCTAATTTGTTAGCGATATGTGACTTATATTCGGTAAAACTTACATGCATATAATCACTTAGTCCTTGTTCGGTAGTAAAATTTTAATTTAACTTACAGTTAATAATTAATTTTAATCATATATTTTATTGAATATATAATTTTTAAATCATATATATTTTTTAAAAATTTAATTTCAATCCGACCGGACAATAGGCTTTAGTATAACTACTAATCAAGCACTATAAAAGACAAAATTGGTTCGCTCTAGATAACAAAATGGGTCCCAAAGGATATTAATTCCCGCCACGTGTAAGAATTACAGCTTAGAAGCCTCAAAAGAGCCAAACAAACAATAAGACAACGGTCCTTCTTCCCCGTTATAAAGTCACCTAATGTAAACTACATTTTTCTCACTTTAGAAAAATTGCACGGTTGCCCTTCATATATTGCTCAAATAACAAGTTAATCATTGATCTTTAATAAGTACAACACAACTAGCTAAACCTTTTATCATTATTATTATTATTTTAAAAAATAGATCAATTTTATGAAGTAAAAGGAAAAAATGGACCAAACTTTAAACCAAATTATAGCATAATCTTTTGACACTGAGTATGTTCTAAGTATATTATTTTCCAATAACGAAAATCATTCAAACCTTCTAGTTAGACGAAAGGGGAGAAATGTCTTCGCTCCTAGTTCTTTTGTAACTAAACCATTTAGAAATGTATAAGAATTCATAGTTAGAATTTGATTCCAACTCAACCCTTTTAAATGACATTTTGAGAAGAGTTGCTTTTAGAAGATCTTTTAAATTGTTCATGTTTATTAAAGACTAATTGTGTAGTTAACATGAACAGCTAAGAGTTGCTTACAGTTTTCGAAAAGGGTAATTAGAACATAACGTTTCTACAATTTTATTTTTTTGGGTATTTTCACCCTTAAATTAATCACACCAAAAACATCATTTTCATCCAACTTCTTAATAAAAAATAGTGGAATGACAAATATATCCTCCTATTTAAATAAAGCAAAAAAAAAAAAAGGAACTAATTGTAACCATACTTCCAATTTTTTTTAAAGAGTGCAAATGAATTCCAAATAAATTATTAAAAAATTTCTCTTTCTTTTCCTTCTTTCTCATCTTCTTCTTCCTCTATCGCCACTACCACTAACTTGTATGGGCCCAATTTTTTTGCGGTTACGATTTTAAATCTTATTGGAGATAGATAACTCCTGTGGGACATCGACATTCATCCTTAATTTATATACATCTTATCCTTCCCCATCAATACTCCCATTCCAGCACTGATTCTTAACACAAATCAAAAAGATTTTCCATAAAAACATTAAAATCTTACTCAAAAACACTTTCTCTTTTCTTTTCTTTTTTTTTGGGGGGGGGGGGGGGGGGGGGGGGGGGACACCAAAAATTTCATTTTCATCTTCTCAATAAAAAATAGTGCAATGACAAATATACTCTTTTATTTAAATAAAACAAAAAGAAAAAAAGGAACTAATTGTAACCATGCTTCCAAATTTTTTTTTAAAAAAAAGTGCAAATGAATCCCAAATAAATTATTTAAAAAAAAAATTCTTTCTTTTCCTTCTTCTTTCTCTTCTTCCTCCTCCTCCTCCTCCTCCTCCTCTACCACCACCACTAATTTGTATAGGCCCAATTTGTTTTCTGTCATGATTTTAAATCTTATTAGAGATAGATAACTCATGTGGGACACCAACATTCATCCTTAATTTATAAATGTCTTATCCTTCTCCATCAATGCACCCATTCCAGCACTGATTCTTAACACACAATCAAAAAGATTTTCCATAAAAATATTAAAATCTTACTTAAAAACACTTTTTTTTCTTTTTTCTTTTTTTGTGGGGAAAATGGCTCTCCAAGGAGCATTTCATCCACACTTTGCATTCCAAAAGCAAAATTGAACATGGAACAAGGTAATCCGTTCTCTGTGCATGTGTGTGTATTTGTGGTTTATTTGGCAAATTATTCTGATTTTTGAGGTCAAATGAAGTTAGACATCAAAAGAAATGAATGGAATCGGCTGAGCTTATTTGGCTAAGTTGAAAATCAGCTTGCTAGATGCACTTTTTTTTTCAGTGTCACGATGCTTGAACAAGAAATAAAGAAACGGGGAAACTGGGAAAGGATAGCTAGTTCCCTTAGATAATTCCAATTCAAATCCATTTTGTCCCAACTATCAAATTAATCTTTCTCTTAAACAAGAAATAAAGAAATGGTGGCGACGGTGGTGGTGGAGGAGGAATAAGGAAAAGAAAGAGATTTTTTTTCTAATTTTTTAATAATTTATTTGGAACTCGTTTGTAATTTCTAAAAAATTTTGGGACTATAATTACAATTAGATCTTTATTTTTCTCTTCTCTTCTTTTTGTTTTATTTAAATATGATGGTGTATTCGTTATATCACAACTTTTTATTGAGAAACTGGATGAAAATGATGTTTTGCGTAATTAAAGGTGTAATTAAGGGTGAAAATGTCAAAAACTGAAAGATGAAAACCTTTTTCACAATAATGGTTAAAGGTAAAGATGTAATTTGCCAATTATCCTTTTGAAAAATTGCAGACTAACTTTCTACTTCGCGCACTTCACTCACTCGTATACACACACACTATGTACATGTTTGCGTTTTCTTTAAGTTGCTAAAATAACTTATTAACGTTCCATATTTTACTTACTTATTACTAATTTCTATTAACTTACTATATTCGTCTCATAAAGATAGTCATATTTCTTTTTTCACACAGATTAAAAAATTTTTAATTAATATAGTTGAAATAATAAATTTTTACTATTATTTTTCTTAATATACCCCTATATTAATACATTCAATATTCAAGGTAATTAAATTATATTTGTGATAACAAAACACATTAAATAGGAACATGTTAGAAAACTAATATATTAACTACACTCACAAATAAGAAATAAGACTATAATTGGGAACAGACGAAAAAAGGAAATATAACTATATTTATGGGACGGAGGAGTGTATTTTTAGCAATTAATAAAAATGAAAATTCTTTATAAATATACAATGAACCAAACAAGGACCATCTAATGGCCACCTTTCATAAGACCATGCCCACACTTTCCTTTTCATCTTCTTCCCCTTCACCCCTTGAAAATTCCAAATCCTCAATTCATTTTAATCTGCAAAATTGATGATAAAAAAATAAAAATAAAAAATTCATTAAATTAAACTATTTACAGGAACAAATCATGACGACTCTACAGAAATTCAAGCTGTTAGCTACACAGTGTGCAGTTGCCGGAAGCCCAACAAGGAGTCCAACTACAAGCCCAGTAATCCACCTCCGCCGGAGAAGAAGCACTCTCCGTATGCTGCTCAGCCGCGGCGGAAGAAGGCTGCCGCCGCTCCGTGAAGTTGATCTCCGGGCAGGCGGCCGCGGGGCGACGGAAAATCGTCGGAAAGGGGGAAGGAAATTGTTGTTAGACATAAACTGAAGGATTTGTTTGTTTCGTCACCTCCGACGTTCAAAGAGAAAGTTTCGGAGAATATAAGAGAAGGGCTGTTACCAACTGCGGGCGTCGGTGGGGCACGTTCCGGACGGCCGTTATCAGCTATGTTCCGGCACCGGTTGCTTAGGAGAGCTTGGCGGCCGGTTCTCGTCGGCATACCCGAGTGATGTGATTAATCTGACCTTTAATAGTAAAATAATTATTTTTAGTCTTAAATTTTTGCTTTTCATTATTTTAGGTAATTTTGGCTTCTGCTTTTTTAAGATTATGAAGGTAGAAGAACTATGTCGTTATCGTCAAATTTCGTATTAAAAAAAAAATGTTATCTCTATGTTAAACTCATAATTCTTGTCTATCGCCGTTAAGTCTCTATGTTACCCTTAATTTTAGAATAATTCCATAGGTACGGGGAATTATTGACAGAAATGATATAGGTGTTGTGTTGACAGTATTTGTATGGTGTAATTTCTGTGTTTGTTGTGTCAAAAATCAATGAAAATTTACCAAGTATTTCTTTGTAAAAATTCTGTCAATTTTTTCTGTACTTGTAGCAAAACCAAATATTTTCACATTGAGAGGTAATTTTGTACGGAACTTTTTTGTTAATAGATACTTGTAAAAATAGTATATCCTATTACCCTTAAAAAAATGTAAAAACATAAAGGAATTTCACCATTGAAATATATCATTAGAAGTGATAACGAAGTACTTTGTATAGATGCTTGTACCTTCGTCAAAATGACTTGAGCATATTAATAAGAATAATGATATAAGCAGTTGTTCACTACTGCAGTCGTTCTACGTGACATACATGATCATCATATACATATCACGTAAAGCGATTGTAAATGATTGTAAAAAGCATTACTCAATCTCGTTACTTTTAATAAAATACTTACTTTTAGAACGATTAGATTTCAAGTTTGTTCTTTTCATTTAACTTTCTTTAAAAATTCTTTTAATGAAATAAAATACAGTAAGAAAATTATTGAAATAAATTTAGAAGCAACTTGTTAGTTTTTAAGGAATTTTTTGACAGAGCCTTGTCATAGAAGATCATTAATCTTGTTTGAATTATAGTATAAAGATGCCAATTCTGTCAATAAATGAGAGACGGTTGTTTGTTTGACCTGCAAGGCAAGAAACTAATTCTTCTAACACATAATTAATTATGTTGAAAATGAAATTTGTATTTACTAATTAAGATGGTGACAGATTTCTAAAAAGTGGCACAAAATCATGAAAGGGACAACCAATTTTTAATTTGGTCTTTATTTTCATGCTTTGATAATACTTTTTGACAAGTGCACCACTACTCGAGGATATGCTTTTGGACCTCCTATTAACAACATGGAGCACATATTTTTAGATTTCCACTTTAAAGCATGTTTATTTACTTTTTTTTTATGTAAATAACTTATTTATTTTATGAAAATAAGAGCTCACTAAGCTAGTTATCTTATCAAAAGGATCCTCTTAGAGTTCGAGTGCAATGGTAGAAGTGATTCCTAATACATATATTATTGATAATGTTGTAATTAGACGACTTTTTCAAAGTATAAAATCCGTAGGCTATAATTATAGTACTGTATTGACTGCATTTTAATTTTTGATCCCACAAAATGTCTGAGTCCGCCACTAACATCTTGTACTATAAAATAATAGATAAATAACTTCAAAGAACCTATATACCTTGTGACACTGTATGGATGCACATCAAAAAGTAGCCGAGACCTAGTGCTAGTCTACGAGTATATACCGAATGGAACAGTGGCTGATCATTTGCACGGAAAAAGGGCGAAGTCTGGCTTGCTATCTTGGCCAATTCGGTTGAATATTGCCATTGAAACAGCGGATGCACTAACTTATCTCCATAAATCGGACATCGTGCATCGTGATGTAAAAACCAACAACATTCTCCTGGACAATGATTTCCATGTAAAAGTTGCTGATTTTGGGTTGTCCAGAATATTCCCGAATGACGTGACACACGTGTCGACTGCTCCACAAGGGACTCCTGGCTATGTTGACCCCGAATACTACCAATGCTACAAACTCACAGAAAAGAGTGACGTTTATAGTTTTGGGGTGGTTTTGATTGAACTCATGTCTTCATTACAAGCTGTGGATACCAACAGACACCGTCACGATATCAACTTATCCAACATGGCTATCAACAAAATTCAAAATCGTACGTTGCATGATTTGGTTGATCAGAGTCTCGGATTTGAGAGGGATTGTACTACGAGAAGGATGATTACACTTGTTGCAGAGTTGGCATTTCGGTGTTTGCAGCAGGAAAGAGATATGAGGCCTTCAATGGAAGAAGTACTAGAGACTTTACGAGCAATTCAGAATGAAAAGTTGAACACTCACAAGGTCGAGGTTGTAGACATTTCTGTCGACGATGAGATAGCGCTTTTGACCGGCAGCATTTCCCCGCCTTCACCTATTTCAGTATTCACCGATAAATAGCATTTTTGATTCTGCTTAAAAGTCATTCTTCTAAAAAGCAAGTTATAATCGTACTTTCTAGAAAAGTAAGTTTCATCGACTTACATTTGACTTTTGAGTAAAACCAAACAGCTTGCATTTCTCTAATTTTAATTCATGTAATCGAAGTATGCTTTTGATTTGCTTATGCTTAATCTTTTTGTGACGATGTCTTTTGTTGTGTTGATAGGTACAAAGTTTTGAAAACCGCCTACTAATTTGTATTTTGAAGTAAATGTACATATGAAATGGACTTGTGAAGTAAATGTACATATGAAATGGACTTGTGTCTTGAGCTATTGTTGTTTCATTTTTGCAGCTGAAAATGGTGTTTTCATATATTTTGTCTAGGGATGTTGTACTTGTGGAAACAACAATCCTTAATCAACTGGGACAGAGTTAATTGGGTGACGATTTCGTCTCTTAATTAATACAACATTGTCAATCAAGGGTTTTATCAAAAAAATTTCTTTCTTTTTCAACCACTCATTTTTCTAAAAAATACTATTCCCCCCATTTTCATTTTCATTTTCATGTAGTGGGGATCAAATAGGGGCTAAAAGACATATTTTTCCTCCATATTTTAAAATAAGTGAAAATAAATAAAAATACGAAGTTGGATATGTTTGAAAGCACGCTGATAGAATATCCCTACTATATAAAAAAGAGAATGAGAAGTTACTATAGTAGTATCAGTGAATTCTTTCATTTTATCACATTGTAACAATTTTTTTTTAATCGTGGGAGCAAAAACGACGTCGTGTTGTCTTCAATCATTTTTCCATTTTTACACGCCACTTCATTGCAACAATCACCTCCCCTGTAATATATTTTTTTTCATTTTCACACACTACACTTCATCCAAACTAAATAATTTAACAAATTAAAGAAAAAAAAAATTCAGTCAAAAATAGAAAAAAAAATGTTATTATAAAGTTTTTTAATTAAATTGAAATAATTAAAAATAAAAATAAATATTATTAATTAAAATTGAACAAGTTACGTTCTCTCAAAAAACGAAAAGAATTAAAAAAAAATTTAAATTGAACAAAAAATTAGTTATAATATGAAGAAAAAGGAAAATTTAAAACAATTTACAAAAAATATATAATAAAAAAATTAAACAAAAGAAAGTTACAAAAATTAAATAAAAGAATACATAAATATTATTTAATTAAAATTGAAAAAAAAAACGTGGAGGTAAACAAGCTTAATGGTTGATTTAATGCTATTTATTATGTAGTGTAATTTTCACAGAAGAGTATGAGAACTCTCCTTATTTTGATAAAATTATTTTCACCAACCATCATCAGTTCCTATTATTGGATTGCTATAAATTAAATCCCAGTAAATTATATTTTCGTATTGTTCTCTTCTCTTCTATTTTTATGTTAGTTTGTTACTTTGTATATGTGTGTATACTTTTAAATTTATATGTGTGCATGGAAATGAATGAATTTTCGCCCTCACAAGTATATATGGAGTTCCAACAGGAATATTATCATGAAATGAGAGATGAGGGTCATCGTTTTTTGATTGAAATTATCCTTCCAATTTTTATACCGATTGAAGAAATATCTTATCAACTTATTATATAACTTTGATGAATAATTCATCTTTTAATGTTTCTCAAATGATTTAGGATTGATCTTCATATATTAGCTTAATTGAACACATTTGTGATATGACTTGAGTTAAAAGGAAAAGGATTATGATCAGACTAATTAACCTTAAATATAATGCTAATATGGTGGTTGAATGATATCCATGACAATACTTAATTTATATAAACTGAAATTGAATAAAGCGCGTAGAAGAGATGTAAGTATTTGAGAGAAAAGAATGGGTTTTATGTTTGTGTGAAAGGTTTTTTGTTGTTTAATGAAAGTTTATATAAGATAAATTTTTATAATACTCACTAGACAAATCTCATGGCACAACGAAGGTGTGATAATTTGGAAGAAGACCATGAACGTCATGGCTCAACGAAGGTGTGTTAATTCAGAAGAAACGGTGCGGTACATCTATTTTATTAGATATGAAAGAGTTGAGGAGATTGTTTAATTCAAAAGAATTAAAACTTACCTGACATCAGTATAAAATAATATATTTTAATATTAGTAAGCAAGAAAGATGGAATTAGAATTAGAAATAGCACAAATAAATTAACAATGAATCCAGCGATAAATTTTTAATACATAGGGAAAGATAATTATTTCATATTAGTTAAATAGAAAAGATATAACTGAAATTTAAAAGTTTATAGACAAGTCAGAGTTCCATCAGTGTGATCTTTTTTGTAGACCATAAACATTAGGGTTCATTATTCAGTAGTTCAAACATTTTGCTAAATTCAAGTTGCAACTTATTTGCAATAAATATCAAATAAAAAAATCAATTCTTCATCTACTTTAATCTAAATAAAAAAATACCAATCAATAAATAATTAACTTTTCACTTATGCACCTAAACATATACAACCTAATTTCGCAAGATCATTACATCATTGATTATAATTATTGATAAAAAATAAAAATAAATTATCGAAGACATACAGTATACAGTCGACATCATTGATTATATTTATTTATGAAAATAAAAATGAATTATCATTGACATACAATATACAGTCTACAAAAGAATGTAAATCAAGCAAACATTTCACATCTTCAAATTTTTTTTTTTTTTTTTGGTCAAATCAACGAATTCTACGCTAATAACAACAAAATAAATATAAAACTCGTGCAACACACGTGACATAGACTAGTTTGGTTAGAAACCATCTTCAAGACCAAGTATGTTAATTAACGAAATATCGAAGATAATAATGAGACACGAAAGAATATTGGCGATGACAAGATAACCACCACAACTACTGCAACGACATTATCACTTTGATTATAAATGCAAAGATATTATGACTAGTAAAACAATAAATTCAAGTCAAGTGTCAACCCAAGAGAATGTGTTGTTGACCTTCAATTTAGCTCTTGTTTGAGTTTCATTCTTACCAAAAAAAAATATTTTTGAATAGTGTGTTGACGAAAAATGTGTGGTTAAAAAATAAATAAAAATTTTAAATTTGTGTGTAATATTATTTTAATGAAGAATGTGTGATTGAAATGAGTCAAATCACTGTTAAATAATATATTCTGATGGAAATAATGAGGCTCAAATAAGGGCTTAAAGTTTACACTATTCCTAACTATTTATTTTAAAATTTTAAAATATTTGATTTAATTTGTTAATTTTTTACTAAAAATTAAAATTTAATTAAAGAATTGGAGTAGCGATCACAAATTTGACCGATGAAAAAACATTGATTAACAAGATGTTAGGACTCATGATTTTATCTTAGTTTTTCTAATTTAACATCGTGTATTAAATTAAGGCAATATTATTTCATTTGAGCTGCCAATCGAATTTCTCAAATTTAATTGATAGTCTTTCTTGAATAGAATCAATCTTATCTAAACATATGAACTCGCTATTTTCTCAATATGAATATCCCTACATTTAAGGTGCATTAAATAACAAAGAAATTCACTAAATAATTAAATTTCAGATTTTAATCTAAATCAAATTCAATAATTAATTTTAATAACATATTTTATAGGTCTTACAATTTTTCAACCACACATTTCATTAATTTTCAACAAATTTACAAAAAAAATTGATTTTAATCCCCATAAAAAAAACGCTAAATTTTGTTTTAGTTTAAAACTTTCTTGTACTTCCTTTTTTGAATGGGTAAGTTCTACCTTTTCTCGCTTGGATGAAGCTACTTTGCAAGAAGGATTTGATAGAAAATTTGACATAATTACATGTGACAGTAGATGATTGAATAGAAAAGTTGAAGTGTTTTAAATTGTCCGATGATAAAATGTGCCACATGACATTATGTCAAGTTTTATATCAATCTTAATATTCATGTAGCATTCGGTCCCTCTTCAAAGTTTCGCAATTTCCTTTTCGATCTTAATAAAATATGCTACTAGTATTTTAAAAAAATATATATAACTCAATTAAATTTATTTAAAAATAACGGTTTTCATATATTAAACCTGTGTGCCTAATTTGTTAAGAGTCTATAACTTAAAAGGTCTTGAAAAATTGAATAAGAACTCAATGACACTGTATAAATTATTATTTAAGTTGATTAAATATTTTTTTTACGTATTTTATGTGACTTATATTCGGTAAAACTTACATGCATATAATCACTTAGTCCCTGTTTGGTAGTGAAATTTTAATTTAACTTATAGTTAATAATTAATTTTAATCATATATTTTATTGAATATATAATTTTTCAATCATATATATTTTTTAAAAATTTATTAAAAATTTAATTTTAATCCGATCGGACAATGGGGTTTAGTATAACTACCAACGAAGCACATATAAAAGACAAAATTGGTTCGCTCTAGATAACAAAATGGGTCCCAAAGGATACTAATTCCCGCCACGTGTAAGAATTACAGCTTAGAAGCCTGAAAAGAGCCGGACAAACAATAAGACAACGGTCCTTCTTCCCCGTTATAAAGTCACCCAATGTAAACTACGTTTTTCTCACTTTAGAAAAATTGCACGGTTGCCCTTCATATATTGCTCAAATAACAAGTTAATCATTGATCTTTAATAAGTATAACACAACTAGCTAAACCTTTTATTATTATTATTTTAAAAAATAGATTAATTTTATGAAGTAAAAGGAAAAAAATGGACCAAACTTTAAACCAAATTATAGCATAATCTTTTGACACTGAGTATGTTCTAAGTATATTATTTTCCAATAACGAAAATCATTCAAACCTTCTAGTTAGACGAAAGGGGAGAAATGTCTTCGCTCCTAGTTCTTTTGTAACTAAACCGTTTAGAAATGTATAAGAATTCATAGTTAGAATTTGATTCCAACTCAACCTTTTTAAATGACATTTTGAGAAGAGTTGGTTTTAGAAGATCTTTTAAATTGTTTATGTTTATTAAAGACTAATCGTGCAATTAACATGAACAACTAAGAGTTGCTTACAGTTTTCGAAAAGGGTAATTAGAACATAACGTTCCTATTTTTATTTTTATTTTGGGGGGAGGGGGGAGGGGGGGGTATTTTCACCCTTAATCACACCAAAAATTTCATTTTCATCTTCTCAATAAAAAATAGTGCAATGACAAATATACTCTTTTATTTAAATAAAACAAAAAGAAAAAAAGGAACTAATTGTAACCATGCTTCCAAATTTTTTTTTAAAAAAAAGTGCAAATGAATCCCAAATAAATTATTTAAAAAAAAAATTCTTTCTTTTCCTTCTTCTTTCTCTTCTTCCTCCTCCTCCTCCTCCTCCTCCTCTACCACCACCACTAATTTGTATAGGCCCAATTTGTTTTCTGTCATGATTTTAAATCTTATTAGAGATAGATAACTCATGTGGGACACCAACATTCATCCTTAATTTATAAATGTCTTATCCTTCTCCATCAATGCACCCATTCCAGCACTGATTCTTAACACACAATCAAAAAGATTTTCCATAAAAATATTAAAATCTTACTTAAAAACACTTTTTTTTCTTTTTTCTTTTTTTGTGGGGAAAATGGCTCTCCAAGGAGCATTTCATCCACACTTTGCATTCCAAAAGCAGAATTGAACATGGAACAAGGTAATCCGTTCTCTGTGCATGTGTGTGTATTTGTGGTTTATTTGGCAAATTATTCTGATTTTTGAGGTGAAATGAATTTATACATCAAAAGAAATGAATGGTAGATGGGCTAAGCTTATTTGGCTAAGTGGAAAATCAGCTTGCTAGATGCATTTTTTTCTCAGTGTCACGATGCATGAACAAGAAATAAAGAAATGGGGAAACTAGGAAAAGATAGCCAGTTCCTTTGGATTATTCCACTTCAAATCCATTTTGTCCCAACTATCAAATTAATCTCTCACTTAAACAAGAAATAAAGAAATGGTGGGCGGAGGAGGAGGAGGAGGAGGAGGAGGAGGAGGAATAAGGAAAAGAAAGAGAATTTTTATTTATTTATTTTTAGTTTCTAATTTTTTAATAACTTATTTGGAACTCGTTTGTACTTTTTAAAAAATTTTGGAGTATGATTATAATTAGATCTTTATTTTTCTCTTCTTTTCTTTTTATTTTATTTAAATATGATGGTGTATTCATTATTTCACAACTTTTTATTGAGAAATTGAATTAAAATGATGTTTTGCACAATTAACAGTATAATTAAGGATGAAAATGTCAAAAATTGAAAAGTGAATACCTTTTTTACAATAATGGTGAAAGGGAGACATAATGTGCCAATTATCCTTTTGAAAAATTGCAGACTAACTTTCTACTTCGTGCATTTTACTCATTCATATACACATATACGCTAAAAGTAACTTATTAACATTCCGTATTTTACTTACTTATTACTAATTTCTATCAACTTACTACATTCGTCTCATAAAGATGGTCATATTTCTTTTTTCACATTGATTAAAAAAAATTAATTCATATAATTGAAATAATAAATTTTACTATCATTTTTCTTAATATACCCCTATGTTAATGCAATCAAAATCCAAGATAATTAAGTTATATTTGTGATAACAAAACACATTAGATACGGGCATATCAGGACATTAATATATTAACTACATTCTAAGCCCCTGTTTGAACCCCATTAAATTAAATTACATTACATTTTATTTTTCTCTTTCCTATTTTCAACCACACAATCTTCCATAAAATAATATTACACGTAAATCGAAAATTTTTCGTTCTTTTTTAACCACTCATTTTTCTAAAAAATATTATTCTCCCATTTTCATTTTTAGGTAATGGGGATCAAACAGGGACTAAATAAGAAATAATACTATAATTTGAAATAGACAAAAAAAAAAAAAACATAATTATATTTATTAGACGGAGGGAGTATATTTTTAGCAATTAATAAAAATGAAAATTCTTTATAAATATACAATGAACCAAACAAAGACTATCTAATGGCCACCTTTCATAAGACCATGCCCACACTTTCCTTTTCATCTTCTTCCCCTTCACCCTTTGAAAATTCCAAATCCTCAATTCATTTTAATCTGCAAAATTGATAATAAAAAAAATAAAAATAAAATTCATTAAATTAAACTATTTACAGGAACAAATCATGACGACTCTACAGAAATTCAAGCTGTTAGCTACACAGTGTGCAGTTGCCGGAAGCCCAACAAGGAGCCCAACTGCAAGCCCAGTAATCCACCTCCGCCGGAGAAGAAGCACTCTCCGTATGCTGCTCAGCCGCGGCGGAAGAAGGCTGCCGCCGCTCCGTGAAGTTGGATCTCCGGGCAGGCGGCCGCGGGGCGACGGAAAATCGTCGGAAAGGGGGAAGGAAATTGTTGTTAGACATAAACTGAAGGATTTGTTTGTTTCGTCACCTCCGACGTTCAAAGAGAAAGTTTCGGAGAATATAAGAGAAGGGCTGTTACCAACTGCGGGCGTCGGTGGGGCACGTTCCGGACGGCCGTTATCAGCTATGTTCCGGCACCGGTTGCTTAGGAGAGCTTGGCGGCCGGTTCTCGTCGGCATACCCGAGTGATGTGATTAATCTGACCTTTAATAGTAAAATAATTATTTTTAGTCTTAAGTTTTTGCTTTTCATTATTTTAGATAATTTTGGCTTCTGCTTATTTAAGATTATGAAGGTAGAAGAACTATGTCGTTATCGTCAAATTTCGTATAAAAAAAAGAATGTTATCTCTATGTTAAACCATAATTCTTGTCTATCGCCGTTAAGTCTCTATGTTACCCTTAATTTTAGAATAATTCCATAGGTACGGGGAATTATTGACAGAAATGATACAGGTGTTGTGTTGACAGTATTTGTATGGTGTAATTTCTGTGTTTGTTGTGTTAAAAATCAAAGAAAATTTACGAAGTATTTCTTTGTAGAAATTCTGTGAATTTTTTCTGTACTTGTAGTAAAACTAAATATTTTCACATTGAGGGGTAATTTTGTACGGAACTTTTTTGTTAATAGATACTTGTAAAAATAGTATATCCTATTACCCTTAAAAAAAATGTAAAAACATAAAGGAATTTCACCATTGAAATATATCATTAGAAGTGATAACGAAGTACTTTGTATAGATGCTTGTACCTTCGTCAAAATGACTTGAGCATATTAATAAGAATAATGATATAAGCAGTTGTTCACTACTGCAGTCGTTCTACGTGACATACATGATCATCATATACATATCACGTAAAGCGATTGTAAATGATTGTAAAAAGCATTACTCAATCTCGTTACTTTTAATAAAATACTTACTTTTAGAACGATTAGATTTCAAGTTTGTTCTTTTCATTTAACTTTCTTTAAAAATTCTTTTAATGAAATAAAATACAATAAGAAAATTATTGAAATAAATTTAGAAGCAACTTGTTAGTTTTTAAGGAATTTTTTGACAGAGCCTTGTCATAGAAGATCATTAATCTTGTTTGAATTATAGTATAAAGATGCCAATTCTGTCAATAAATGAGAGACGGTTGTTTGTTTGACCTGCAAGGCAAGAAACTAATTCTTCTAACACATAATTAATTATGTTGAAAATGAAATTTGTATTTACTAATTAAGATGGCGACAGATTTCTAAAAAGTGGCACAAAATCATGAAAGGGACAACCAATTTTTAATTTGGTCTTTATTTTCATGCTTTGATAATACTTTTTGACAAGTGCACCACTACTCGAGGATATGCTTTTGGACCTCCTATTAACAACATGGAGCACATATTTTTAGATTTCCACTTTAAAGCATGTTTATTTACTTTTTTTTTATGTAAATAACTTATTTATTTTATGAAAATAAGAGCTCACTAAGCTAGTTATCTTATCAAAAGGATCCTCTTAGAGTTCGAGTGCAATGGTAGAAGTGATTCCTAATACATATATTATTGATAATGTTGTAATTAGACGACTTTTTCAAAGTATAAAATCCGTAGGCTATAATTATAGTACTGTATTGACTGCATTTTAATTTTTGATCCCACAAAATGTCTGAGTCCGCCACTAACATCTTGTACTATAAAATAATAGATAAATAACTTCAAAGAACCTATATATATGAAAAAATATTTATGGAACTCTAAATTCAATGACATGACTAAACTACCATTAACAAAGAAATCTTAATCACAACAATATCTAACACCCCACAAATTTCTGGCACATTTTACAACCTTGATGTTGGTTCAAAGTCCAATTCTTATTTGTAATCACAAACAAAGACTTCATAGCATGTTCAATTGAATCAACAAGGGTGGGAGAATTAGTCAAATTTTGCTTAAACCCAAAAAAGGGGGAACGAAGTAAAGAAAAACAAAAGTCGAGCCATAAAAAAAACTAAAACTAACAAACTTTACATGCATAGGACACACACATGAAGCGGAATATAAATTACGAACTAGCCAACCAAGTGAATGTCGACGTCTTCTTGGATTCATTTGTCCAATGGATCGCAACTCCATCCCAAGCATACTTTACGAAGTTATGGCCTTCTAGGCGAGGTCACAAGAATAGACAAAAGTTAGTGGGTTCTTTCGATAGGATGGACTATAGAGTACTTGACATATTAATCTTGTTTCATCTTTAATACTTCCATGTTCTCAACTTTCTTGTTATCGAGGACTTATCATTAAACAAAAACGAAACATAAATCAAAGACGGGGGAAGAAGTAGAGTTTACTGCCAAATGGAGAAAGCGTGTTTTGTTTGTTTTAGATGCGGTGTTTGTTAAACTGAAAATCGATCCAAAACAATTATGCGGAAAAATTGGATCGAAAAAGAACAAAAACTCATGAATCTAGTTCATATCTTTGGCCATTGGTGTTGTTTCAGAAGCTTTCCTTGTTGTTCCAGCTAATGGCACATCTAAGCTATCAACACTCTGAAATTGATGGTGCATATTGTGCAACTTTTATGGTGTTTGAGTTTCAGGATCGAACCCCTTCATATAGAGCCAAGCTCCCATCAAGCCATGACTATAGTTACTCTCTAATTGATGATGAAATTGAATTCTATGAATACTGAATTGAAACTGAGTAAATGTTGAAACTGAAACCATGATGTTGGACCATTAATAGAGAAATGGATGTGTTACATTTTCGCGTGAAGATACATATAGAGAAGTTTTATATTGTACAATTCTCGACTACAACAAGATAAACAATCAAATAGACTAGGTAGGCCGCCCAACCGACGACACGTATCCTCGAACCATGGCATAGCCTTTATGAAAACTCCAATCTGCAAAAGCATGGCTTTCTTGAAGGAATGGCATCTGTAAATTAACTGTTTATATTTTCTAGCAATATTGGTGACAATATTTATTTTATTGCTAGATCTTAATTAAATGAATTGCGGAAAGTCTACTCATAAATTAAATCCTAATTCTACCTACAAAATGAAAGACTTAAAAAATAATGTCTTTCACTGTGAACAAATTCTAACTTAGCCATCGGACGGGGAATAGGAAAATCCCTTCCCTTTGTGCACGTCAGTAGATTTTGCAAGGAGATGGGCGAAGAATACGAAGTAGAACATATTATTATTTTTTTCTTGAAATTAGAAAAATATTCACCCTTACATGTTTTTCTCTGATCACTTGAGTTAATTCTTGGCCTTGAAATAGAACCGTATTTCGAAAACAACAGAAGTAGATCGCACTAGAAAAGTATGAAGGCAAAATATCACCCTAAATCTACCGTGCAAAAACACACGAGATTCGTACACTGGGGAAAATTTTGATATGCACATAGACCCTTATGCCAATAAAGGAAAAATGAGACATATTCTTCATTAAATTAAAAATGGGAAAAAGGAACATATGACATATAATTAAGCTAATGAGACTATCGATGTAGATAAATGGGGTTCTCTCTCTCTCCCTCTCTTTTTTTTTTTTTTTTTTTTTTTTGCACAGAATAGTCAATAATGAGATCATTCTAGTGGCAGTTAGAAGAGTTTAAGAGAAAGATAGATTAATTACAACACAAATAATTCTGTATCATCAATTGATTGGACGGTCTTTACCAAACGTGTAAATAGGATAGTCTCACTAGTAATTTTTCTTATTCATTAGGCATGAAAGTCATGTCGAATGTGCTTTTCTATTTATATGTCACCTAAATCGCAATTCTCATAACGCATTAGAAATGCTATAGCATTCTAATCAGCAATTCATTAATGCTTAACGTCCACATGAGACTCTAATGTTAATTTTACGCAATGTTTTTAAAGGCTTGAAGTGTGACAAGATCAAGACTCAAGCATCCAAGCCTTGTGAGCTTGGATACTAAAGCGTTTAGCTATTTTTTACTATTATTATAATTATTCCAAGATCATTAATTACTGTTTTAATAAAATCCTTATTTTAATTATTCTTTTTATTTAATTAGTTTATTCAACCATACAACCTAAAAAGATTGGACCAAAAAAATTGAAAAAAAAGAAAAAAAAAAGGTGTACGACTTTTGACTTCTAAGATTATTTTTGGGCAAATTTCCTAGAATCGACCGATTTAATTTGTTCAACGATAGGTACTTAAAATCAAGAATTGGTCTATTGTGATCCTCTCCCGATCTCAATTGAAGAACCGAAATTCAGTTTGGTTCTATCCAAATTCAGTTTTTTAGAAAAAATAAAAAACTTCGGCTTTGGCTAGAGCAATGAACAAATACTGAGTACCCACAAGATATTCGATATTATAAGTTAAACAACTTGTATTTAGAAATTCTTTGAATTAACCTACCCTAAGAAAAATAAATCATAATTCCACATTCTGAAAAAAATTAATATTACAAAATCTATTATCCATAAAAATGGGGCTCAAACATATCTTCGTAGAGTCGAGACTATTTCTAGCCTTCAAAGTTCAAACACTTTTTCTCTTCTTTCTTTCAACACGGTAAGATTTCTGTTGGAGTAATGTACGGTTTTTTTCCGGTAGTTTTTCCAGTTCATAGTTTAACACGTTCGCTTTTAGTTTCTAGCAGAAATTTTGTAGACTACCATTTCGTTGAGACTGTAATTGGTCAATCACTTGATACTTCAACTATGTTAATTAGTTTGATTAATGCTCATCGATTGTTGAGTGAATTTTCAACTCTTTTTATTAGTTAATTTTCTGAAAGAAGAGTTGAGATACGAATTTCAATTTAAATTTATTGATTTTTTTATTTAATTCCTTTTCAATTGTAAAGCAGATAGCTTTTTCGGTAGGCACAATTATTCCATTTTTCTTCCATTAGGCTGTAGAATTCAAATCCAAGTGAAAATAGAGTTGACTGTCTTTTTTTTCGCGCCTTCCCATGTGCAAGGCTTTTCCCTCGCGCCTCAAATCCAGGCCATGCCTTTCAGCACGGTAGTGTTAAGATTTTTTTATTTTTTATTTTTTCTTTTTATGACGGGAGAATCACAGTCGCTATCGTTCGAGTGAGCACTGGATAAACTCTCGAACTGATTTAATAGTCTGCAAACCACGTCAGTCAGGTAAACCACACTAAACAAGCCCGGTACGATAGGCTCGACTAAAAAAGTATTAGTAGGAGAAATCGAACTCGTGATCAAAGGCCTTCGAGCTTACCTACTCCACCAGCTCGACCACCCCATGAGAGACCAGTAGTGTTAAGAACTCTGCTAGACGTAGTGATGGGTTATGCAACAAAATTAAAGTTGAGTGACCAAAATGTAGCCATAGATCTATCTCGGGATTTCAACGCCATAATGTCTCAACTTGGAAAGAATTTTGCTTATTGTACGACCGGGGTTGACCACCACTCAAATGGGGAGGGAGCCCAAGATTTATCAACCCCGATTGTACAAAAAGCAAAATCTGAAAAATTGTCACTCTTGTTTTCCCACCGGAAGAACGAGCATTCAGAATATAACTATGCAAGTTTGGAAATTTCAGTAGTTTTGGACATCCGCGTTAATTTCTCAAATCTAAATCCTTATTAGTGAAAGAACTATCTAATTTACATCAAACTGTCCCCAACACCCATCTACTGATGTGATAAAAGTCGAGACAACGCCCCCCACACTAGTTACAATCAAAATAACAAAGCCAAAATCAAAACGCAGGTTCATCAAATGCTTACCAACAGACCATTTGTCACATAATGAAAACTGGAAAGATGATTCTCGGATAATCTGCGATAGGGGAAACGGCAAATACTTCCCTTGGTACTACAACATTATTCCCCTCAAGGAGCAGCAGTAAGAGCGCGCTCTATTTCCTCCAGTGATCGTCCCTTAGTTTCCACAACATTACCTGCTATGTACATGACTGCTAGAAGACAAACAGATGCAAATCCCAGGTACACTGTACTTATTCCAAACTTAGTTACAACGCTCAAGAAGTACAGGCCAATGACAAAATTCGATATCTGTTCAAGTAGGGAGAAAAAGCTCATCAAGGAAGTAAATGACCAATAAGACTTTGAATTATTATAAAGCAGATTTATCCAATGAAATTTCATCGTTCAAAGCTGTGCGTGTATCTAATGGTGAAATATTTCATCAGCACAAAGAAATTTAAGGCATCATGCATATGAAGATGGAAATATATAATGTATGCATGAAAATGGAATGTGGATGAACTGCTGCTTGCCTCTCCATTGAAATACAATTGTATGGTCACGGCTATAAGCACACCAGAACACCTAAAACTCCATTTCAGTAGCATAGACAATCCTGATTTTTTCAACAGTCTTCAATTGGTTCAGACCATATGAAGAAAGTTGCCACTCGGACATATTTTACTCTAATCTAATTTTCATGAGAAACACCATTTTATTAACCAACACCTTGTCCCAAAACAACTTCTTTCATTCAGTTATAAATTGAAGAGAGAATCACTGCAGCACCCCAGAAGTACTTCACTCGTGGATTTCCATCTTTCTCCAACCAGTATGGAACTTCCTATTTGATCTGTGATTTAGGATATTCCTATGCCGTTTTACTTAGCTTTTCTTTTTGTCTGTGGAGTGGTGACACTCTGGATACATGCCCAATTTTATACGCTTGTAAATTTTGACACGCAAAAGAAACTTTCTTGACACACCATGTGGCATGTCCTGTATCTTATCTCGTTTCACTAGTTATAATGAGTACAACAAAAAGTTAACCTTCATATTCAAAAGGTTTCGACTTAAAACCAAAATTCAAAATACAAGCTAACTAGAGTATTAATTCATTTGAAAAATAAAGTGGTACTAACATGAATAACATGAAATATTACATATATAAATCAATAAACTTAATAGAAGTATGTCCTGCTTTCTTAAAAATTTGCATGTCAGAGTGTTGTGTATATTAGGGAATAGACATAGGGTATGGGTGCACCCAATATAGTGAAAGCATTTCTAGTCCACAGCGCACAAAATTTAGCTATACGTGCATCACAAGACACTTTCTTTGTAAGACAAGTTTCTAACAGATTGTCATTTAGATTCCGGTGAGGCTTAAAGGCGTTCAACCGTGAGGCCCACTACAAGAAGTAAAATGAAATGCAGGAAAACAAAAGGGAGAAATAAAAAGTAAAGAAGACATCATAGCTCTCGACTTGTTGCTTACCCAATGCATGCCTAAAGACAATGCCACTGCTTTTGCTCTAATTCTAGAGGCAAAAATCTCTGGAAGCAGAAGAGCAGGCACAGGACCAGCACCAAGAGAGAAGGATAATACATAACTGCATTAATTGAATGAAACACAAGTTAACATTTCAGTGATTATATATCTTGATGTAAAGGAAAAAATAACACTGTAAAGAAGCAGCTAAAGGACTCCTGCTAATGAAGAAATGATACTTACAGAACAGTGCCAAGAACAGCAAGGGTGCCTGCATATGGTGCCAGAGTCTTCCAAGTGAAGGTTAAGGAAAGCAGCAACATGGAAACAGCCTTGAGAAGAACAGAGAAGCATCAAAATAAGTTGAGATAATGTGCCAAGAGAGGACATCCAATGACCAGCAATGTAGACTTGACACCACATTATGATTTAATAAACTAAATTCTTGGTATGCATCTTGCATGTCAGAAGGAACACATATATTCAATAAAACTCGATGCCTCTCAATGTGAGAGGTTCTTTCAATATATAGAATCAAATCAAAACTAAATATAACAACTATCAATTACAATATTAATTAATTGTAACCTACTAAATATAAATATTGATGCTTTATATTCTTTTCTTATATTTCACTAACATTCCCCTTAAATCGATGCTGGTGACGGTGAAAATACTTGCGCCCAAGAAGAAGAAATCCAAATCAAAGCAACCATCTACGAAAATTAGTAATGACGAGAGACCAAGGCCAACAAAATAGTGCAAAAATAACCGAGAACGATTCCAAAGCTACTCCAAAAACACTCCAGAGAGCTCATACCCCAAGAAGAATTTTCAAAAGAAATTTAAAAAGTGTGTCAACATACACAGTAAGCTCTGTCTGTCGGGAGAACTCAGTCGAACACATAATCTGTGTTCTAACAAAAGCTCTAACGCTAATACACCGGTCAAAATTTCAGCAATATATCGCTAATCAAGATGATGCAGTTGGAAGAAATCCCATCAAACAGCCTACACCAAAAACTCAAATACGATCCTCCTCTAAGAATCCCCAAAAAAAAAAAAAAAAAAAAAAAAAAAAACACTCCAGCTCATCATCTAAGCAACCAAAACTCAACATTCTGCACTCTCATGTCTCTCTCATCCATATGACCCATCAATATGATCCACAATTTATAGCCTAATTGCTCACAACCCATTCACAAGTTATACCCTCATGTCCAAAAGCCAAGCCCACTTTCAACTAATCCCTAACCTATACGCCAAATAATAATGAAGCCCAAACTAGCAGAGCAGCCCAAGAAATAAATCTTCAACACAAAATAACGGTCCAACAAAATTCTCACGGCCAAAACACAATCAAAACTAATCCCATAAAATAAACCCACGCCCAAGTAATCTAACCAATTATCAAGCCCCTAACTTGACAGCCCATTAAAAAGAAACCATACCCAACCTATAACCCATACATCTAGCCCATATATCATTATTGCTTTCCTACCCTAACCACTGATCGGCATTGGTTCTTCACATTTGTGTCACACACCTGTCCGATCACCGCTCTCTTCTCACAACCCTAGCCAACCCGCGCCATTGACTACCACAAGACTGTTAGCAAAATAAAATCTATTCAAATATGCCTTTTGCCCCTTTCTCCTGCTCCGAGAAGCTAGGCCATATAGCCGACTGGATGTGTTCACTCACGAACCAGGGACGACCCAGGTCCAAGCAAGGCCACCACATATCCGATTCTGCTGCTTTTGATTTTTCTGGCGATGACTTGTTTGCTAATCTCGCTGCTAATGAGGACTTATCTTTCCTCCATGTTGACACCTCTGCCAAATCCCACCACCACAACAATCATAACCGCCCGAAGTTCAATCCACGGTGGCGCTTTAACCCCCGCACCCTCTTCATCCACTACTGATCGATGTTGCATCACGAGCAGTCACTGCCTCATATCCTCTAAACTCATCTGAACCAGTAGAAGCAGATTGAATGATTAAGTTTGAAAGTTTAACCAAAACAATAAATTTTGACTAGACGAGCAACACAAGACCGCTCACCAGAAAACACAAGTCTGCATGTTTAACCCAAAATAAAATTAAACCCACTCTGATACCATGTCAAATATATTTAATAATGCTCAATGCCTCTTAATGTGAGAGTTTTTTTCATTAATATAGAGTCAAAGCAAAACTAAATAAAGTAACTATCAATTACAATATTCATTAATTGTAACCTACTAAATATAAATATTTATGCTTTATATTCTTTACTTATATTCCACTGACACCAATCAACATAATTACGACTTCATCCTTCTAGACATTTATTGCCTTTTGAGACTTCTATCACTAACCTTATATGTATTTTCATTCTAAGTAAATCATACCATGCCAGCAAAGCTTGTAAGCAGAAGACTTTTCCTTCCTTGCTTATCCATCAAGGAGGACGCAATGGTTGTCCCTAGAAAAAGATTAATGCCAATGAGGAAAAAATACATTGCATGACCACTATAATCAACATCTTCAAAACCACTAACATAAAACTAACCAAAAACATTTGCCGCCCCAACTAGAGCACTGGCAGCAACATCAGATGTAATTCCAGCACTGCGGAAAACAGAAGTAGAATAGTATACTACGGCATTTATCCCAGCAAGCTGCTGGAACAAGAAGAGAGCTGCACCAACGCTAACAACTGCAAAAGATATATAATATGATATTACCATTCCAGGAGATCTATTGGAAGATTAGAATGTCCATTTTTTCAATGCCTAAATTAAGCCAATATTCACTAGAACTGGAGACTCACGTACTTCCGCCTTCAACCCTTGACAATTCCATTTCTTATATAACCATTTTTTTCCCATTTTATGATCATAAAAATTGAATTTTATCGAGAGACAGAGAGAGAGAGAGAGAGAGAGAGTGATAGGTATAATCGATGTTAAATGGACGTCTGAAGTCTTGGACTTTCAAGAAACCTGATTCGGTTACTGCTAATTCTCCCCGTGAAGGTTGGGAGGACCCATGGACCATAGTATCCAGATTCAACAGTATAGAACATGCATTTATGAGTTTTGCTTCATCAAAATATGCACCATGATCACTAACATGTCTTGATGTAATTACCTTTCCAATAGCGACTACTGAAAAGATCAAACCACCCAGCTTCTGGTTCAGAGGAACCTTGAGCTGCTGCATCCAAATCACTCATAACCTCAGCAACCCTTTCTTTTCCATTTAGCTTTCTGATGGACACTTCAGCTTCAGAAATTTTCCCTTGCTGCAACATAAATCTGTCTCTCTTAGCAATATTTTAGCACAAAAAACCAGAGATCAAGCAGACAGAGAATTCCACACAGAAATCCGAATAGAAACTGATATGAAGTTCACAGTGAAACCTGATAAAGCCACCGTGGGCTTTCAGGAGAAAAAGCCATTCCAAGTGCCAATAATATGGACGGAATAATCGCAACACCAAACATCGTCCTCCACCTGATAGAACATAGGAAGTGAATGGGATAAGACAGTCAAGAAGAACAGAGAAAGTTCGTCATGGAAATAACCTTATGATGACTAACCTGCATAATTTTCAAAGCTAAATCATTTTCCTTGGTGAATACAGAGTAAAATAAAAACGTGATGATAGGGGTTTGAAATAAATTGGAAATTAAAAAAAGAACACAGCAAGAAACGGATAAATGAATGTAATCCTTTATGCAGGAGCAGGTAAGACGAACTTTAAACATGCTTACGGAAAGAAATCAAATTATTTTATCAGTATTTGATTATGAAATTTGCTCACAATAAAGTTTACAACTTGAGGATTTAAAGACAAGTAAACAGCCAAAAATAGGCAAAACCATATATCATTATCTCGTAGAATATTACATTTCCATATACTTTGACCCCAAATGCTGTATATTTGAAGTGATGGTTTTTATATTAAACTACATCTGTTAGGTTCTAACAAACTCAAGATGTCACACACAGAGACTGACGAAAAAATGGTTCACCTATATCAATTATTAGAAAATTTAAACTGAACATTACTATAATAAGGTAATTTATACAACTCTATCAATGCTCCTAATACTTAGCCCCGTTTGACCCCCATTTTTAAGGGGAAAATGTATTTTGGAATAGTTTTTTTTTGGGAGTAAGTGTGGTTAAAAAGCAAGGAAAAGTTTTGGATTCACATATAAAATTATTTTATGGGAAAATGTGTGGTTGAAAATAAGTTTTTGAAAAAATGGAGCCCTAACAGGGGCTTAATCTAATTCAGAATTTCTTACAATATAATGGGAAATATATAAAAGGCTAAGTACCATGGTTCCCAACTTGTTTTGTATCTAGAATTGTTAATTAACGCTCTTATTTTTGTTAACTAAGTAATAGGTGCTTTCTTTCTTCTATGAAAATAATGCGAAAGGAGATACCACAAAGGATTTCCAGCTAAAGGCAATCCAGCTACCAATGCTGCCAGAATCCCAATACATATAAATAGCTGGTTTACAGATCCAAGTGTTCCACGGATTTCAGTTGGTGAGATCTAGTCAAGTAAAAAGTAATCAGATGTGTGGTAGAAGCCGTTTAAGTTAAAAAGTAAACATAATATATGAGAAAATATGCACCTCAGATATATAAAGTGGCACAATAGCAGACGATATACCAATTCCAATTCCAGCAAGTAAGCGACCAATTATCATTGTCTCTATGTTCTGTGCAGTGGCACTGTAAAAACCCATTACATTTTAAGGCACTTATTTTCCTGATGATTATTAAAGAAGAACACCTCAGAATCTGTGTCAGAAGTACAGACCAAAGAAATGCTCCAACTGCAAGTGGAATTGCATCCAACAGAAAAGTCTTTGTTCGCCCAAATTTATCAGCCAAAGAACCCCCAGTGAATGAACCAACAGTGGCACCAGCAAGAAGTGTGCTAACCACCCAACCTACTCAATGCACAATTGCATAAAATTTCTTCTCCTTAATAAGAAAACTTACAGAGTAACTTATAGAGTAGACAATTTATGACTTTCAAGGTCAAATGAATTATGATATTTTTCTGGAACACAATGGTCAATCATTGCATAAGAAGTAAAGGTTAAACATAGCATGTGCAATGTTGACAACTACTTACCTTGCAACACAGCATTTTCAGCAATTCCAAGATCCTTGGCAAGATACTCTAGAGCACCATTAACCACCCTAAACCAGAGAAGTGACAGTACAATGTGAACAAAAAAACTTATTTCACTTAAAATCAAGGGTAAACAACAGCAAACCAACCATTAATAGGGATTTAGAACATTAAAATAATGTTATCATAATCTAGCAGGAAATTTAAACCATTACAATCTGATTTTTAGAAGGAGGAAAAAATAAGTAAAATATGAAAAGAAATGGTATGAATAATTGTATTCATACTGAGATGTACCCTAGATGATATCCAAAAAGAATGGCTCCCAAACAAGCAACACCAACATATGGCAGAACAGTTCCAGATGATTTCACTTGGATTTTGGCAGGTGCAACATCCTCAACATCTCCTTCTGTCAGTCAACAGCATGAATGTTCATTGTCAGGAAAAATTTAGGAAGCAGCCAACTACAAACGTAGCAGGGGTCAGGTATCAATACAAGACCTGAAAAATTAAACTAAAATGAAAAAAAAATGGAATCAAAATAGGAAAGAAGCTATTGCACATTGCAGGTCACTGGTTAGATTTTGACATGAATACCTGTGGTGTAACTTTTCCGCTCTTCTTCATAATATTTATAACATTCTTTAGACACATGATAAATGCAGTACACCAGAATTTCCCTTTTAAATGTGCAGTTGAACATAAAGAACCAACACAAGAAATTTTCAACCCCCAAAATTATAAAGCATTACTGCTTCAGAATGAGAATAAGAATAAAGAAAATAAATGAAGCCAAACGGGTTGGAAAGGGTTAGAAACTGTATATGTTACTAATGCAGATAACGCAAGTCCATTTTCAAATAACAATGGTACTAGACACACCAAACAATTCAATAGTTAAATAAAAAAGCTTAAGTAATGCATATAACTAGCAACACGATATTGCATGTAATCATCCAGAAGAAAATGCAAACGTTTTTTTTTCTTGTTTGAAACTAGTATAAAACTACCCACAAGTAATTGTTCATCATCCAAGAATTTTAATCAATATCTTCTTTACTGTAATCAATAGTAAACTCCATCACGAGAAAACTTAACAATCTAATAAAATACACCAAATAGCAAAATCACAACTACTATCCAGGAAAATGGCAGAAATTTACTACTGGCAACGTCTCAACTGCGCTATAAAATCGGAGCTCCAGATAGCTATTACAAAACAAAATTCTAAAAACACGAACCATAAGCTTGAGCTCTGACTGATCTGGCCTTGGCCAATGATCCGTACACACTTCTAGGCCAATTCCCCCTTGCTCCCATGGCAATTGAGTCTAGGCCAATTCCGAAGCAACTGCTCCTTTTTGTCATCCGAAGCTCACTAACAGCGAAACCTAAATTATTCTCTCTCAATTCACGCGAACTCGGCAACGGCCTAAGGTTTTGTAATCCAAGGCATAAATTTCCTTTAACAGCATGTGTAGAAACCTGCATTTTCCACCAATTTGACCTGTCAAATAAATACACAAAACGAAAAGTCAACAGTCATTACTAATTAACTAATTAATTTAACCTACAGCGCACGGCGATTCAAATCATAACTCTACATTTCAATACTCATAAAAAACCGAATCACGTAATCAACTGAACTTTAACATAAACGTGTTGTTAAAAAATAATTACAACGAAAACTAAATTGAAAACAAATTCAGAATTAAAGCAAAACGCAATTGAATTTACCAAATTAGAAAGTTGATTTGAGATTATTGTCGGCACTTCCACTTCGTATGTGATTGCAGTGTGGTTATAGTTTATGTGGCAGGTAGATAGAGTAACTTTGGAAGGTCCGAAGAAGGAAATGAATTAAAAATTAAATTTGGAATAAAAGAGGCGTTGATTTAGAGAGGACGGTTAGTTTACTACCAGCTAATAAGTGGAGATTACAACTCTTTCTGTTACTACTAAGACCATGTTTGGTATAAACCGATTAAATTATCAGCTAAGAAAAATGAGTGAGCTTCAAGATGTATGAACGAAAATTGACTCCGAGTATTTATAAATACGAGCCAAACAACTCCTTTTTTCCTAAATTCATGGAGAAAAATCAATATTGCTACAATAATAGACTCAATGACAGATAAAGTCACAGAGGAGATACCTGGCAATACATAATTGGACAGTTTGAAAAGAATACAATATCCAATCACTGTATGCCACACCACCATATTGCCTCCATCATTGTCAGTGACCCCGACCAAGTATCATTATTCAAGAAAAAATTATCTTCCAGAATGTTTTTATACGCATTTAAATTTGTTTTATTTAATATTATAAGTTAAAGTAATGTAGAGATAATAAAATGTCTCGTTTTATTTTCATATTATTTTTATACGTCTAAATTTAAAATATATTCAAAAATGTAAATAAATAAGTAAAAATGCGAAAAATAGATATATTTTATTTAGACAATTCAGTTGCATTGCCATCCCTAATTAAATGAGTCCAAATTAAAGTTAATGATTGTTTGGTAAATAAGAATAAAATAAATGGAAAAGAGGAGAGAGAAGATAAAAACGGGAGAGAAGTTTTGATTTCAGATGGATTTCGGATTAGATTTAGGTTGCGCATTGCATTGGTGATGTCGCGTCAGCACGTGAGATTAGATTCTTTTCCACGTGATAAAGAGTGGCAGAAGCTGCCACGTTGGCTCCTCCCCTGAACCGACTTCATTACCATTTTTTTTTCTTGGAATATTCCACAAATGAATATATTTCCCTAAAAATGAATTTTATTAGTCTTGATTTAAATGAAGGAGACGGATTAATGCCCTTGATTGATTTTTAGCCTGTTTGACAATTATTATTTGAATTTTTTTTTACATATTTATTTTCAATCACACATTCATACAACAAAATATTTTACACGTAATTTCAAAATATTTCTCTACTTTTTAACTATACATTTTTTCAAATATCATTATTTAAAAAATTGTTTTTCACAAATAATGATTCTCAAACTGAGACTAAGGGGGTGTTTGATAATCATTTTTACGTAAAAATGCATTTTAGAATATTAAATTGATATGAAATGTACGATCATAAAATGAGGAAAAAAATTTTATTTGCGTATAATATTATTTTAATAAAGAATGTACGGTTGAAAAAAAGAGAGACAAAAGTGCATTTTAAAAAAAAATACTACCAAACGGGGCCTTAAGATTGTCGTGTCATATTTTTTTATAAGTATATCACATTTTAGTTGCATATAAGGTTCAAAGTCTTTATTAATGATCGCACTTATATTTTTCAACTTCTTTCATCATATTAATTAGAACATAGGAAAAATTGCAGTCAAATTACCGAAGATTTCATTAGTAGTAGATTTGATTCAGACCTTTCATTTGTACTATCGTAGGTACTAAAACTTTAAAAAATTCGCAGCTCAAGTCCAAAATGTACTATGTCCAAAATGCCAATGTCTTATTTGGGAAAAATTATTAAAATTTTAATTTCTAGAGTCAAACTGACGAAAACAATCATTTTGGACTTGAGCTATGAATTTTTAAAGCTTTGGTACTTACATTAGTACAAATGAAAAGTTTGAATCAAGTCTGCTACTAAATAAAATATTCGATACTTTAGCTACAATTTTCCCTTAAACATATTGTTGCGAAAGGCCCTTCAACCTTTGTACAAAAATTCCATTAAGAATGAGTTTTACTCTTAGTATTATTATTATTTTTTAAATAAGTAAAAATAACAAATACAATTAAATATTTATCCCTTGTCTTAATGTATATTATCAAAAAAATTTCACAAAAATATTATTAAAAGTAATTTTACTAATTAATAAAATATGAGTTCATGAATGTAATAATAAATAAGGGCCTGTTAGTAGTGATTTTGAAATTTGATTTTTTGACCGTTGAGAGAAAAGTAAAGGTCGCTTATGAGAGAAAAAATCAAAAATTATGGCTGAAATAATAAAATAACAGTCAAAAAATCAAATTTTTGGGGTGAAAAATCACTCCTAAATGGGACCTAAAAGTTTAAAACCTTTAATACAATTAAAATGTGATACACATATAACCCCCAAACTATAATACATTTTTGAGATCTTTTTAAGAGTATCCACTTGCACTATTATGTACGACATACAAAATTGATCAGGTTTTTCTTGAAATATGAATCTATTCATTATTTTTTTTTTAAAATTGGAATTTGGTTAGATCTCAATTTTTGAAAAAAAATAAATTTGTAATGAACTTATTAGGTTTTAATTTGTGTTGGATATTCTTTAGACAAAGAGATTATTATATAAGAGTTATAAAAATCAAGGATTCTTTGTTGATATTGTATAGGTGATTTAAGAGTTTATAGGTCTGAGCATGGAACATGAAGAAGTAGTCGTCGGAATTATATTAGCATGTTGCCAAGCTGATACTCGACTGTCCAAAACAAAGTCATTGTCACTCGACTATCGCTCGCTTGATGCTAGCTTGGAGCTCGAGCGGCGATACTTTCGAGAAATCCTAATTCGCAATTTTCAAGAGTTCTATCTAACATATACTACCCTAACATCTCTCTATTATAACACAAGCCGCACTTCGTGAAAACTCTGGTTGATTGTTATATTCTACCTTCATAATATCCTTTGGAGATCAAACAACAATTCTACATCTTGATATCAATCAACTACAAATTAGGAAAAATATCAAAATCATATCATCTAAAACACCCACTTTCAAAACATGATCAGGAATGTACTTTCTCAATAGCTTTCATATGTTGCTGAAGATTGAGGAGGTTGGACCAAAAGTTCAAGAAAAATACAATAACAAGGTGTTCTCGGTGATTTACAGGAGATAGACAATTTCAAAATATCGAAAGCATGTGTGAGTGAAGCACGTTCAGCGAGTCTTGGAGGTTGTAAGAATTATATTAGCGATTCTAGTGTTTTTTTTTTTTTTTAGCCTAGATCATATTGTGAATTTTTATTATCTATGGTAGAACTAACTGGTTTGATTCCGAAATTTTTAATCATGTGAAAAATTTTCTCCGTCAACAAATGTTATGTTATTTAATATTCTAACAATTCAACATAGAATAAAATTGACTTGATTAACTAAATATTTAGAACAATTAAAAAGTGATTTGTTACTTTTAACTGATAATTTCAGTTTCACGTTATTCACCTATTCACGCCTCTCTAGGTGATTTTGGGGTCGAACTAATAACTTTCCAGTGGTATTAGAGCACAAATTCGATTCCTAGCCCTAATTTTAAAGATGAGTAGTTTATTGTCAGTCCCGCCACGTTTTGATGGTAGTAACTACGCCTATTAGAAAGTTAAAATAAAAGTATTTCTGAAATTGATAGATGAGCGTATTTAGTTGAGAGTAGCGAATGGTTGGACTGCCCCTTTTAGAACCATTAATGGTGTTATCACCCACTCGTATAGGTAATTGATTGAAGACTAATTTAGATGAGTAAGCTTTATATGCTTTATTTATTGCTATGTCACTAGAAGAATTTTGATGTATATTCCATAGTCATACTTTGATCTCCTGGTTCCATTATATCATTTCTATGTAATTTGAAATGTAATCCTAATACTTCATTAAAGTTTTTATCTTTCAATGAGACACAATATTTTGGGTAACAAGTAAATATTAACTTTTGATATGCTAAATTTCCTTTTATAGTTTATAAATGACCATCTTCAAGATTTATAATTCTTCCATCATGTAAACTTACAGTTAATGGTGAATCTATTCATTCCCTAAATAAAGATTTAAACAGTATTTGTATTCTTGCTAAATAAACATATTGGATCTTTTCAATATGTTTTTTTACTTATTTTTGATAATAATTCTGATAATGTACTTTTTGTTAAAAGGTTTATTTTATGTGTTCCTTGATTGTCTTGACATCTATAGTTTTTTCAATCTTATGGTATTCATTTATTGCTATTCTTTCTCTTCTCCATATTCTATTTAGAATTTCTCATTTTCCTATTTTCAAATCTAAGGATAACTTTTGTATTTTCTTAAATTTATTATTGTCAAAAGTTACTTTTAATCCATAACCTTCTATTCCCTCATATTCTTGGATTTCTATGTTATTATTTTCTATTTTTTCAATTTCTCTATTCAAATTCTGATCTATTATATTCTGAATTTGCTTCACTTATAAATATTTCCTGATTATTATAATGTTCAATATCGGATATTTCACTTAATTCACTTTCTATTTCAAAATAATCCTTTTGTAATATTCTCACTTTTTTTTTGTGCAATCAGGACTCATATGGCCTATTTCTCCACAATTCTAACACTTACATTGTTTTTTATCTTTCTTATAAGGTTTATTTTTTTGTATATTATTTTTTCTTTTATAATATTTCCTTCCAGATTTTATGTATTTTTTCATAAAGTTTCTATATTTTTTAAACTTTCTGTTTTTATACTTTCTTTTATTTCTTTTTTCAGAATTACATCCTCATCTTATAGGTTTTTCCATATTTTCACAACATATTTTAGTTAATTTTCCTGATTTTTTCAATAATTGTCTTTGTTGACATATATATGCTAGTCTTTCAAACAAGAATTTTATTCTTGATCCTAGTGTTCTAGATATTCCTATATTTTCTTTAATATATTTTTCAAATCCTATTTTAAAATATATTTCTCATGATCCTGGTAATTTATTGTAATACATATCTTGATATACTTCTTGATTCTCATTACTATAAAATTGAGTATAATAGTAATCCTTGAATTCACAAGTATATTATTTAATTTTACACATATCACAAATTGTAATTTATTGTAATACATATCTTGATATACTTCTTGATTCTCATTACTATAAAATTGAGTATAATAGTAATCCTTGAATTCACAAGTATATTATTTAATTTTACACATATCACAAATTGTTAAATTAATTAACTTAACTCTTGTATTATCTTTTTCCCGTATTGTTTCT